TAATTATCATGCAAATTAGGTAATTAATATGCACGGATTTTTACCAAAAACTAATCAAATCTGCGCATATGTTCAGAGCATCTATGTACCAAGTTTCATCAAAATCCAATGAGTGGTTCTTTAGATATCAGTGGAACAGTCATAGAACAGCTAAAAATTAGCTAATTATCATGCAAATTAGGTAATTAACGAGCATGGATTTTTACCAAAACCTAATCAAATCTGCGCATTGGCCCAGAGCATCTATGCACCAAGTTTCATCAAAAACCGATGTATGGTTCTTGAGATAGCAGTGGAACAGTCGGACACACATACACACACACACACAGACACACTAACTGCAAAGACTCCCATTATGTGCTTCGCACATGGGAGTAAAAAAATTGTTTCAAAATTGCATTAAAATATTGTGTCATTTCATACGAGATTGGTAGATATTCCATGAATATAAATAACATTGGCAACTGAATAACTGACTCCTACTTAAAATAATATAGTCAAAAAATGTTTCTAGTCAACAAATTTCAACAAGTTTCAGTGAACAAATTTTGTGAGACCATCTTTGTCTTATATAATCAATTATGAAATGAATATTGAAATAGGTTTTGACCAAAAATATTTTTTGTGCATAATTATAAAAATTAGTGATAAGTACATACTGTTTGGAAAGCAGCAAAATTGTCTGTGATATCTCTTATGGTATTCAGTGTTGTACTGCTCTGGCGTGTTAACCGGTATCCACTGTCAAAGTTAAACTTCAACTTTTTGGCAATAGATAGGTTGGATCTTGAGTTATATTTAAGATCATTTTTTGTAGCATCTCGCCGTGATGGTGATGTCAACAAATTCTTCAGTAACACTGGACTCCTAGAATTAAAAAAAAAAACCTTATAACTTGTGTATTGGAAAAATACCTGTAATCCGTTAAACAGGATTTTTTTTCAAAAACAATTCTTCACGATCAAAATGCGTATATGTGTATGATACTTTTGGGAAAAAAATAAATGTGATTAAAAATGAAGCAAGTATGACAACACACTAAAATATTGATTTTGTCATGAAGAACAACTGTAACATACGGACAAGTACATGGTGTACATACCGGTAGTACATTTTTCATTTATGATACTAATAAAGCAAGTACCGTATTGCATACATGATTACATTTAAGAATCGGCCTGTTATAACTGAGGGAGGACTCATCTATACCACTAATAAGGTGCATTTTCATCGATTCTGACCTGGACTCGAAATTCGAATGGACCACCGCTTAAGCCATATTGACCTACTAAACGAATGGAATTCTAAATTTTGGAGTTTTTTGGAGTTAAAATTCTGAATTGAGTAGAAATAACTTAATATGAACTTACTTGTGCTTTTCGGCATTGATGAAATCACGGTGCTTTTGTGGTGAAAATACTACTATGTCTTTAAAACCGTCTTGCTCTTGTAATACGGCATTAAAATACTTAGTGTCGTTTTTCGACGCAAGTTTCACTTTTGAAACCTGGTGAAGATATCCCTCGGTATTAAACATCTCTTGATTGGACATTATACGCCGATCGCAGCAAGTACAAAAATGACACCAAGACTCGGATGGGCAACCAATGAATGCCAAAAGATCACAGCAGCTTTGCCCAGCAGCGATACAGTCGCAAATGAAAGCGTCAGAGTGTTGGATTCAGATCGAGGCTTGGGAATAAAAGTTAGATCACTTTCGCAACTCGCCTACCGTAACAAAAATAAAGGTCCTCACCAAAATGCGTTTAGTTTTGTATACATGGGTAGATTTCGTATACATGGGTAGCAATATTGTATATTTTAAATGCCAGTGTTTATGAACTATTTTCGGTGCAAAAACACAGCGGTTTCGAATGATTATATATTTCTGACGGCGGGTATTTGGCAAGTAAAAGTAATAGCGAGAATGGCAGTGTTATTTACATAATAGTCGTGAAAACAACGTTGAATATTGAAAGACAAAGGAGAACATAGAGACCGACAAGTGTTCGACGTAAGGCTGGGGAATTCAGTTTAAACGGATATCAATGATGACGTTAACCGTTACATGTTTAGTGACTTTCAAATCAGGGGCGACAGTCTTAGTACAAATACATTCATAACGAAATATGTGAGAAAAATGAAGGCACAATAACCTTGCAAATTAATCGCAACTATGAAGAAAATAGTAAAGTGTTCGTAATAAAGTAGGAAATTTGGTAGTTGTCCATAGCTCTTTATGGTAGTATTGAAAATATAATTGTAAAATGACTTTTTCTGCAATTTACTGTATGGCATAGTAATTTAAATCATGCACGTTGTTTTCTGGCTGGTTTACATAGCGGCGATGGCAGTGATTTCAGTATACAGTTTCTTTCTTAATTGGATTGATTAATTTTTTGTAATTCATTAATCCGGCAATGCGTGTATTTAAATAACAAGGTTCACTACTGCGCGGAATCACCGTCAGGATGTTCACATTTGAAATAACCTGAAAACATTCCAAATAATAAAATATAACGCATGTCACTCAGCTTAAAATATGAGGCTTCATTGCAGAAATGTATCATTAAGAAGCTACTGCAGCCTGGTTGCCATAGAGGGCGCACATTATACTAGAAGTGCATGTAACCATGGAACTTACAAAATGGAACCTACAGTCGTTTTTGAAACTGTTAATTGTAGCAGCATAGACAAAACATTTAAAATATTTTCTTGTACATGTGCCACAGTTGTCGCATTCTATCTTGTACTTGGTTTAATAACTTATAATATGTTGTAAATTTATGTTGTCAATATGATACCAGAGACGTCTAAGTTATGTCAAGATCTGGTTATAAAATTTATATGTATGATATTTCGTTTACATCTGTATGGGCGAATCCCGGGACAGAGTATGCCCGGTATAAACTGTTATATCATAACAGTTACATAAAACGACGGTCTAGCAGTGACAGACGCGTACTTTAATTTTGATCAAATTACAACACATGTATAGTCTTAGTATAAACCGTACATAAATCATGTCATGTACTCGACACTGACAATCAATAAAGCTTCGTTTATATTTACAGCTTCTACAAGTATATATTACTTCAATTCGTGTACAAAATGTGAACATTTTTGCACTTGCACAGATTAAAACAAAGGCATACAATTTCCTCAAATCAATCTGAGAACAACAAGGTGTGTAATAATCGTGTGATCTGATCTCATAAATTTTATTGAACTATTAATTACTAGTATAACCATGGAACTGGTTTATAGTTCCATGGTATAACTAAGAATGTTGAACTTGGACAACGGCCCGTCTCTCAGGCCGTGACTGTGAAAACTATATAGCGCCACCAGACGGTTGAAGTTTATATGCTGCGCTTTCGTTTAGGTGAGTACATGTTTATTTTATGATCGGAGATTCAAATATTGAATATTGATAATATATGACAATTTATGTAACTATAAGTGAACATATCCGAAATGTAAAGGTCTAGTCGTCGCATTCTCAAGTCCGGTTTTCGGTGTAAGATATTAAATGTGATAAATTTTGTGCATTTTCTAGTCATTTATCGTGTAAAACAATCATGGCGTCGCCCAGTCATGTCGACCGGAAGTGCGTGCACCGTGTTCAACTTCAGAAAGCATTGCACATGTCTAATCAATTTGGCAATTTAGAAAGTCACAGACGTGTCATTTGAGCGTTACAAATAAACAAAGACATTATGGGTGAAATAATTGAACAATGGCGCTATTTTATAGTGTCGATTATTTAGAAAGGTCAAACCTCAATTCCCAAAACTAGCAATGTATGGGGTAACCCGAATCTCAGGCCCCGGCCAATGACCCCTGGCGAATGAGTTATTAATTTACATGTTTTTCTCGCAAATTTTTATATATTTAACGCCACTGGCCAATGTACGTAAAACGCGGAAGTGAATTGGCCGACAAGTTACTATGACTCGACAGTAATATAGAGACATTTCGCGATGGGCGTCTTTCGTGGTCAGTAATATTTACGAAAAAATCTTTGTTCACTGTTTTATAAACTGGCTTGGCAGTTCTCATCACCAAATAAACAATGTCACAGCCTTTCGGCCATTTTTCCAACAAATCCAAAATCACTTGATAATTTTGTTCACTTAACATTTGTACTATGATTACTTTTGAAGTTTTGATAATTTTAATGGCTTAATGCATACATTGTAGTAAATTTTATTTACTCTTGAGATGTTATCATGCTTTTGAAGTGTAGCATTACCATTTTTTCCTAATGCAATAGCTGAATTATTTTTATCAGAGAAATTAAAATTTATAGCTGTTATGTTACACAATCAAATAGTGTGCTCTGACATGTAATTTTTAGTTTTAATATATTTTTGTAATTATTTTTTAGCTCTGCTGTCGACTTAGTCGAGCGGAGCTTATCATGAGTGATTGTTCATCGGTGTCCATCGTCCGTGTCAATGTTTTATTTTTTCGACTTTTTTTTGAAAACTACAAGCCTGAATGCTTTGATACTTGGTGTATATGTACCTTTGGTAGACCTCTCTAAGATTTGTTCATTTGTCTAATTTTGGTGAATATTGTTGTCATTTTTGGTAAAAAGTGATATTTTCGACTTGTTAAAAACCGCAAGTCCAATTGCTTTGATATTACATGTGGACCTCTCTCAGATTTGTTCATTTCATGATGATTTCTTTGATTCTCTAATTTTAATTAATATTTTTTTTTTCATAAAAAGTATTACCGTTAAAATCCTATTATAAACCACGGTTTATATTATAATGTATTAAATAAAAATCAAAAAATCAACAGCTCAAGTTCGGGGTGCGGTTTATACTGTAGAATACTTTATTTTCGCTTGGAATTTATTTTCGCTATTTTCGCTGAAGGGATGATTCCGTGAAAATAAAATCCAGCAAATATACTTTTTTTCCTGTATTTCACATTAAACTTATAAAAAATCAGTGAAAATAAATTCCATACAAAATGCCCAAAAAGCCTTTTCAGCAAAAATTAATTCCAGCAAAAATAAAGTATTTCACAGTATTAGGGACATATTGCAATCACTAAATGGGCGTGGTCATTTTTTCCCACATCACTTGCACAAAACAAACAATACACCGTACAATCTTTTGAATATAAGCGTAACATCCAATTTAGATGTCAGGGAAGAGTGATAAGCCTCACGTCACAAAAAAAACTGTTCACATGAAAAAAAAAAATACTCTGTATATTTAATGTAATATGCATTTTTTTTTTATTTTCTTCGTAACGGAAAGTATATTCCGACAGGAGTTTCAAATAAAAACAAACATTAATGTAATGCTTAGTAGAAAATGATCATGGTACGGCACTAAAAAAGTACGGTACCGTGGGTACAGTAACGCAATCCGGCCATGCTTCGGCTCACAAGTGAATAACTTCATTGTTTTTGAACTGTTAAAATTGTTGATTATTACTCAGTAGTGATTATAACAACACACGAAAATTTAATTCGTTGAATTGTTATCAAATGCAAGTAAAATTCAACTTAGTTTTACCGTAAGCGAATTATTTCGGTCACATGTAAACGATCGATGCGACATACGCCATGTAGTTTGAATGCACACAAGACATTACTTGACCGGGTAGGTCAAGTCGCTTATTAACCAATAAAAATGCTGGATGGTGCCCATGTGTTCAAATTACCTTAGTTCATTTAAATATGTTAATGACAGGTCACCGACTTCATGGTGAACAAAACCCAGAAGCGATTTACCGATAATGTAGTGTGATCTTTTGGCTTTGATTTCCATGGGAAAACCACATGACTTTTTTTTTAAATCAAGAAATTAGTTGTTTTCGAAAGATAAACTGAGCATTGAAAAAGAATTTAACAGTTTTTTGGTGAGAACAGCTCATTGTCGAAAACTTACAACACACGGATGTATTCATAAGGAGTATTGACACAAGTTGTCACAAGACAAAAGCAGTTTCTCTGCGTGTTTGATATCCTAACACTACTGAACAATAAAGAGGTGTGAATATTTTTAGGCACGTTCTCGAAACAAATGAATCGATTTAGGAACAAGTCGGTCACGGTCTTGTTGAATTGGGGGTGCGGTTAGTAATAGGTACATTTCATGTTTTCAATTTTTGTTGAGAACTCTTTAACACTGAAGCCGAAATCGGGGGTGCGGTTACTATTAGGTATGCGGTTTATAATAGGATTTTAACGGTATTTTCAACTTGTTGAAAACCGCATGTCTGATTGCTTGGATACCATACATATAGGTACCTGAGATTTGTTCATTTTCATGATGATATCTAATTTTGAACAGTTAACATCAGAGCTATCTCAGCCGACAGGCTGCTTGTTTTATTTTGTATTGTGACCTTTGACCTATAGTACTAACTGCATGTTACGGTTTCAGCCACTGGTCAAATTAATGACCCCTCGTCAATAATCATTGGTTGTAATGATTTGCTATTTCCCGTTTCCTGAAATCAACCTAAATCAATTAACAGGGCGAACAATTTTTTTCTATGTATTTTTTTTTTAAATAATAGTTTAGTGAGTGGAGATAGATTCAGTGAATATTTTTTATTATGTTTATTAAACTTTCCTGTGTTGGTTTACCATGTTGACTATCACATTACT